TTGAAATTTTGATCAGAAATCTCATCTGGGTTTCTCAGATTTAGTTAAATGTCCAATTTTTTTTATCTTGGTACTGAAAATCTATCTGGGTCTTCCAAGTTTCAGTTTCCTTTTGTCATAAAGGTTCTTAGAATCTTTCTGGGTATTTCAAAGTTAGCTCCTTTTTCTAGGGATTTTGCATGAAATAAGATCCCTTTTTTGGAGAAATGTTTAAAATTCACTTCTTTTAACTCAGGTTTTGTGGCGCATCTGAGTTTTTTGCAGCTTTCTGTGTGTCTAGTCAAGCTTTATGTTGTTCAGATTTTTCCTCATAGTATTACTTTAGTTATATGTTGATTTGATCTATTGAAACTGTGGATTGATTTTGATGGTTTTGTATCAGGATTACATACCAACAGTTTTTGACAACTTTAGTGCAAATGTTGTAGTCGAAGGCACAACTGTGAATTTAGGGCTATGGGACACTGCTGGTATGAACATTCATTCATATCCATATGTCAAGTTCTTTGATTTGGTTGATTTGAGATTTGTTGCATAGACAAAAATCCATTTTATGTTTTGAACATTTTCAGGACTTTTGGCTTTGTTTGTGTGTTTTGTTTGCAGGGCAAGAAGACTATAACAGATTAAGGCCATTAAGTTACAGAGGAGCAGATGTTTTTGTCTTGTCTTTCTCTTTGGTCAGCCGAGCTAGCTACGAGAATGTTTATAAAAAGGTTTGATTAAAATTATGGATTCATCGTTTTCAGGAAACGATAAGACTCGAAAATGTCGAATAAGTTGTAATGTTAGATGACCGTTCTTATTTTGAATCAGTGGATCCCTGAACTCCAACACTTTGCTCCAGGAGTACCCCTTGTCCTCGTCGGTACCAAATTAGGTAAGAAACAGATGAGCATTTACCCACCAGATTCCTCTTGACCGTCCCGATATCTTACATAGTTATGATTCATACAACATCGATGTAGATCTCCGCGAAGATAAGCACTATTTGGCTGACCATCCTGGACTATCCCCTGTAACTACTGCACAGGTTTTGGTTCTAGAGCCTTTTTTATTACATTTAGATCCCTTGTAAGAGTTCATGATATTTAATAAACATTCCTATGTGTGATAGGGAGAGGAATTGCGTAAGCTAATTGGTGCGACATATTACATTGAATGTAGCTCAAAAACTCAACAGGTATATAAACATCTACATTGATTGGCCTTCATAGAGTAGGCACCTCTTCTCTTCAGATCGACAAAGCGATGAAAGTTTTACATTTTGCAGAATGTGAAAGCTGTTTTTGATTCCGCCATCAAGGAAGTGATCAAACCGCTGACTAAAC